AAAAAAAAAAAAAAAAAAAAAAAAAAGATTCATAATGGCTTCGAATTGTTCCCAAATTCCTAAATTTGGTTCTTTCCATATTGGAACAAACTGTGTGGCCACCAGCAGGTGAATAAAAACAGTATATGTCAGAAGTCCTAGCCAGAGCAATCAGGCAAGAGAAAGAAATAAAAGGTATTCCAATTGGAAAAGAAGTCAAACTACCTTTCTTCACTGATCACGTGATTCCATATGTGAAAAGCCCTGAAGATTCCACCAAAACGCTCCTGGAACTGATAAATAAATCTCACCACTGCACTCCAGCCTGGGAGACAGAGCAAGAGTCAGTCTTAAAAAACAAAAACAAAAACAAAAGAAATTATGGTATGCTATGCTCAGTTTTACATGGTTATAATAATATAAACATTGAGTTGTGGTCAAAAAAAAAAAAAAAAAAAAAAAAAAAAAAAAAAAAAAAAAAAAAAAAAAAAAAAAGAAAATAGGGAAAGAAAATTTCAGGACTCTCTAAATCTAGCATGCCAAGGGGGAAGTTATGCCCTGGAGTCATGTAGTTTGTTGAGAATGCTCATAATTCTGCTTCTTAAATTATAGATTAACTCTTTTCCTCATTGTTCTTTTCTACTAAAAACACAAACATTAGCCAGGTGTGGTGGCAGATGCCTGTAATCCCAGCTCCTCAGGAGGCTGAGGCAGGAGAATTGCTTGAACTGGGGAGGCGGAGGTTGCAGTGAGTTGAGATGGCATCACCATACTCCAGCCTGGGTGATAAAGCAAGACTCTGCTAAAAAAAAAAAAAAAAAAAAAAATCAGTACATTCACAAGGCTGTGCAACCATCATCACTAGTTCTAAAACATTCCAACACCCCTAAAGGAAAGCTATCCACACCAGCCTCATTCTCCCTTACAACAACCCCTGGTAACCACTAATCTGCTTTCTGCCTCTATGGATTTGCCTAATTTGGATATTTCATATACATAAAATTGTACAATATGTGACTTTCTGTGTCTAGCTTTTTTTGCTCAGCATGATAGTTTTAAGGTTGATCTATACGTTGTAGCATGTGTCTAAATTTTCTTTATTTTTTAAGGCTGATTACAAAATATCTCATTGCGATGAACCAGTGGCATTTGTCTGGGGTAATACCAGAGGTTTGTTGCCTCACACCAAGGAAATTGAGGATGCCGACACACACAAGGAGTCAGTTTAAGAGCAGAGGTTTAGGGCTGGGCACAGTGGCTCACACCTGTAATCCCAGCATTTTGGGAGGCCGAGGCAGGTGGGTCACTTAAGGTAAGGAGTTTGAGACCAGCCTTACTGACCTGGTGAAACCCCGTCTCTACTAAAAATACAAAAATTAACTAGGCGTGGTGGCACGTACCTGTAATCCCAGCTACTCAGGAAGCTGAGGCAAGAGAGTCACTTGAACCTGGGAGGCAGAGTTTGCAGTGAACTGAGATTGCACCACTGCACTCCAGCCTGGATGACAGCAAGACCCTGTCTCAAAAAAAACAAAAACAAAAGCAGAGGTTTAATAGGCAAAAGAAAGCAAAAAGAGAATAGCTGTCTCTTCTGCGGAGAGAAGGGGATCCTGGGTGGGTCTTCCAGTTCCATGGTGAAATGCACAGGGTTTCACAGATGAGCCTGAGGAGGCGGTGACTGATTTACATAGGGGACAAGAGATTGGTCGAACCAGGTGTGTCATTTGCATAGCGTAAGGAAGCTGACTGCCCACCCTAATCCTTTGTTATGCAGACGGTTCTCTACCTGGCTGGCACCCTGTTGCCTGCCCTTTCCTGTGGCAGTGGTTGACAAAGAAGAGAAAAGAGGGAGCCTCCATGTTGGATACACCTGACTCCCTTTTCTATTGGCACAGCTGTTAGCATTTACCTATGCAAGCTTTTTTTTGAGACGGAGTTTTCGCTCTTGTTGCCCAGGCTGGAGTGCAAGGTACGATCTCAGCTCATGCCAACCTCCGCCTCCCAGGTTCAAGCAATCCTCCTGCCTGAGCCTCCCGAGTAGCTGAGATGACAGGCATTTGCCACCACGCTTGGCTAATTTTGTATTTTTAGTAGATGGGATTTCTCCATGTTGGTCAGGCTCACCAGCTCCAGAGGTTGGGCGCAGACACCAGACCCAACTGATGACTAGATGAAACAGGGCCAAGGTTGAAGCAGCTTTCCGTAAAGACATGCCACCAGAGTGCCCTGTCTGTTTACCATTGTGTTGGAAATAGATGTTTGATGCTACAAAGAAAAATCAGCACTGAGACAGAGGATCTCTTAGCAAGGCAATCTTTACCTTCTGCAGAAAGGGTGCTTCTGTTAGCTATCTTAACACAAGAGTACAACGAACAAAGGAAAAGTAGACATATTTATCTTCTGCAAGACAAAAACACCTTTTCTGCAAGAAGTAAAGATTGCCTTGCTGAGAGAGCCTTTGTCCCAGTGCTGACTTTTCTTTGGAGCATTGCCAAAGCAATACCCAGAAATTACTGCTCCTTTCTATGGCGATAACTCAGACAAACTGGAAGTTACCACCCCTTTTCTAGAAATCTCTGCATAATTCACCACTTAATTTTCAGATAATTAAAAGTGGGTATAAATATGCCACAGAACTGTTTCTGGGCTGCTACTCTAGACACACTGTCCCTGGATTAGTCCTGCTCTGAAAGAAGCAGTATTTCTGCTGTTGCTGTGCATGGCCACTTCAATAAAAGTTGTGGTCTAGGCCAGGCAGGGTGGCTCACATCTGCATCCCAACACTCTGGGAGGCCAACACAGGCAGATCACCTGAGATCAGCAGTTCAAGACAAGCCTGACCAACATGGTGAAACCCCATCTCCACTAAAAATGCAAAAATTAGGCTGGGGGAGGTGACTCACATCTGTAATCCCAGCACTTTGGGAGGCCAAGACAGGTGGATCACCTGAGGTCAGGAGTTCAAGACCAGCCTGACCAACATGGTGAAACCCCATCTCTACCTAAAATACAAAAATTAGGCTGAGCGAGGTGGCTCACATCTGTAATCCCAGCACTTTGGGAGGCCAAGGCGGGTGGATCACCTGAGGTCAGGAGTTCAAGACTAGCCTGGCCAACCTGGTGAAACTTCGTCTTTACTAAAAATACAAAAATTAGCTGGGTGTGGTGGTGGGCACCTGTAATCCCAGCTACTCAGGAGGCTGAGGCAGGAGAATCGCTTGAACCCAGGAGATGAAGGTTGCAATGAGCTGAGATCATACCATTATACTCCAGCCTGGGCAACAAGAGCGAAACTCTGTCTCAAAAATAAATAAATACATTTTTAAAAACCCAAAAACTAAATAAAAAAGCAAACCTGAATTATCTGGCT